CACTTCCAAACTTTTAATTAATTCCAAAGGTTCACCATTAACATGCGTTTTTAAATATATTAGCCTTTGTAAATCATTCAAATCAGGATTTTCAATTACTAAAGTGCTGAAGAGTTGAATAAAAGAGTTCCAATCTGAGAATTCACCTGTGAAAACTTTCATTGTTATCTCTGGCAGTCTTATTGAATGTTTAGAGGCATGACTTTGTGAAGTATTGTGAGAATTTACATTTGTTACCATTTCAGTAATATTTTTAATTTTTCTTTGGATCCCTGCCAGAGCATTAAAATACTTACATTCTACATCATCCCTATCTGAAGATTCAACATCAGCATCATCAGAACATTCGATCTGATGTTGAATTGCTTCATATTGTTGAAAATAGGTCCTCAGTTGCCTTTCCCTATTTTCAAAGTGCAAGATGTCAAGTTCTGAGTCTTTGTTAATGTTGAACCAATTGAAAATTCTAGTAATACCTGCTTTTAAAACTTTTCTTTCAGTTTTTAATGTGTCCAAAGCCATTTTTAAAGAGATTGATAAACTTATTGATATGATAAAATAAAATATAAAACTTTATATGTTTATAATATATATAAACTCGTATAAACACACAATTAGTACTATAATTTTATACGAATTACTATTTTAATCAGTTTTTTTTTAAATCCTTATGTGAGTTTAATTGAATATAATAAAATTAAAAATTTCTAGTGTCTAACCTTTAAATAAACCAAAACAAAACACACAAACTGTCAACAACTTCACACCTGTTGTGAAATCCGTCGCTCTGTTCGTGTCGTCGAGAGTGAAGAATGATAGAGAAAGAGCCGCTTACCTTGTGTGTATGAGAGAGAGCTTGGAGCTTGTAGATTGCTCGGTTACTCGACAATCGGTGTATTCGAAACTTGAAGACGTACACTCCGTATACTAACCATGTGCTGCGTTCGGTGGTGTTGCGTGCAGGTGCAGAGAGAGAAAGAGCGATGATCCGTGATGTGGCGTTACCGGCTTTTTGATTTGAATTTTCCCGGGATTTTTTCTTTTTTCTTAAATTCACCTTCCACAAGAAATCTAGCGATGAAGGACCATAAAGGGAAACGATGGGGTTATTTTCAACGTTCCCTGAGAGCACCAAAACCCTTGTGGTGACCTGTCTTGATTTCTTACAGGATTTAAGCGTAGGTTGCTGATTCGTTTTGTTACTCTTGTGGGGGTGAAATTATACACTAACACTTTACTTCTTCGCTTTATTTTACTTGCGAACTATTTTACATATATACACCTTGCACTTTGCAACACTAAAACTAACTTATAATATAACTTGTAATATATATATGTACGGGTGAGAGAGAGAGAGAACGAGGAGAGAGAATAACTTATTTAGCGACTTCTTAACTTGAACTACTTAATGCGACTGCCCTTATATGCCTGTATGCAATATGTGGCCAGCTTGGGTAAATGACAAAGGGTCAGCGGGTGTAAGAGGGGCGTCAAATGCACTGAAGATTTCTGGTTCTTTTAACTAATAAGGGCTAACATGTGTTATTCAGGAACAGAGGCGGCGTTAGGTTAAATTAAAACAGTTAAAGAATTAGTTGGTTTTCCAACACCCTATTTCTAATATCATTTAATTTTCTTTGAATATATTAATAAATACCTTGTTTATTATTATTTTATTAATGAATATTTAAATTAATCTTTCATTTCTAATCTGAAAGTGTAAAACTCAATCACAATCAAAAATCTATAATTTTCATACAATTAAAAGGTTTAATCAACTAAATGTCACATTATGTGACATTTTTAAAATAACAATAAATTCAACATTATAATTAAAACTTTAAAACATTTCAAAACTGCCAAAAACCCATCCTAAAAAATTCTTGCCTTTCCTAGTATATTACTTAAGCTAAAAATTTGACGTAGTTTCAAGTGTTATGTAAAAAACATATTAATCGTGTCAGAGTACACCCCTGAAGAGGGTGGAGCGGTCAGAACCTTCAACCAGTTAAAATATTCGTATCCCTGTACAAGGCCTATTTATTTGTTTTGGTGCACTATCTCGACTCGGTGAAGATACTTTAGCATCAAATTTAGAACACATTATAAATATTATTATACTATCCCAACTTGTTGTATCTAAGCCTAAACTATTTAATGACCGTAAATGTTTAGTGACATTATCAAATAAATTTCTTAGTTCAACATAAGACTCGTTATTAATACTAGGATGATCAAAAATTGCTTTTAAATGGTTGTGAATAATAAGTTTTTTATTCTCATAACGCTCTGTCAACATCTGCCAAGCTATTTTATAATTTGTTGACGAAACCTCTATAGATTTTATTATTTGCTGAGGATCCATTTCAAGAGAAGATCTTAAATAATAAAATCTCTGAATATCTGTTAAAGATTCATTATTATGAACCAATGCCAAAAAACAATCTTTATATTCGAGCCATGAGTCATAATGGCCATTAAAACTAGGCAGTTTTATAGGTGGTAACTTAACCAAGGCCTGAAAACTATTACTATTAATCCCTTGATTTGAATCACTATGAACTGATGCATTCTCAGTATTATTTTCTATTTTAAAATTATCGCAAAGTGTTTGCATATCACTAACAAGTTCGAAATAGGAAGTCTCAAAAGTGTTAATTTCATTTATATCATCATTACTCTGCTCTATTTCATCAATTTTTTCTTGAATCTCATGAAAATCTTCATACAAGGGTGAAATCTTGCTTAACCTTAACTCTAGTTCTGTGATTAACTTTTTAGACGCATAATCCTTATCAATATTATCAAAATAATTCTTAAACCTTGTAAGTTTCCCTTTAACTACTCCCCTTTTTGATTTTAAACTCTTTAACTCTTGCTCAGCCATTGTTGCACAGATGAAAAATACAATGAACCAAAGTCACTTACCTTATATCATCGAGCAATAAGACAAAAGAGGGAATGTAAAGGTAGAAGGGGTAAACATATTGATAGACAGGAAGTGCCATCTTGAGAGGCCACTTTAGACAAGGATAGACAGTCTCTTTCCTTGTTTAAGAAGTCAAATTTAGTTTGGTTATGTTATTGTTTGTCCCAACTGTCACATGAAATTCTTTCATTTATATTGAAATTTTATTTATATTGAGTTTTTTACCAATTATGTCACTTTTTAGACTATTATCGTTAATATTTAATTAAAACTTTCTAGTCTGAAAAATATTTTATAGCTATTGTTAACAAATGTTGGAAAATTTAAATTTAGCGCCTTTGCATTTCCGGATGTGTCCGCCATCAGAGGCCACTTTTTTGGTCTCCTTTTTATAACGATTAGATTCCCTCTTTTGTCTTATTGCTCGATGCCTTATATGGTTTTTATAACCTCAAATCAACATTGGCTTCCTTGGCACTGAATGTCGTAACCTTAACCTTTTCAAATTGACATCGGCTTCTGCACTGAATGTCGTAACGTTATAAATATATAATATATAAACCTTATAAACCTTTCAAACTGACATCGGCTGGGCTGGCACTGAATGTCGTGTTTAACCTTTTATTTTTATTTGACAATTTTCGCTGTTTTTACTTCAGATATTCATTCCATCCGCTCGAATTGGACCAAAAACTAAATATGTATGAACTTCTGGCTAATCATTGATGATTTACCATATTCCTGCTTGTACCATTTATTATTACAAATATAAAAAACTTTAATTAATTAGGGAGACGTGTTTACCTATTTATTGCTGCATGACAAGAGAGCGAAATTATCATTTGACAGCCGTTACATCAATCATGACAGGCTTGCCTTGTCTTTTACTACACAAGTACCTAAGCTTAACAAAATAAAATTTATGTCTAAACACTTCTTTTGAATGTATTAGTGACTGAATGATCCATTGGTTGTATCAATGATGTATTCTCAGTCAGAAAAGAGTACGTGATATTTTTATCGTCACTCCGCAGTATACCGACTTTAGGATGGGCTGGTGCATTGTCCAAAATAAAAATCGTCGTTGGTGGAAATTTTTTTGCAAACAAAATGAATTGATGACTAAATTTCTACTTATGTTGTCAATATAACTTATGTATGGACCCTGACGGTTAATAGAGATGACTGTTAATAGAGAGACGGATAATAGAGGTTCCACTGTATATAGAATCTCATAGAATCCGTCAAGAATGGTGGTAAGACACTGGTCCTCAAAATACAAGAACTTTTTAATTTATGCTTATAGTTTGTAAATTAAATTTTCACAAAGCTTGCTAAAGCATTTAAAATGTATTTAAAGGGGTCAACATACCAATTAATGTGGAGTCAAAAGTCTTTAATCAGCATATTATTCCATGACCTATAGTGTGGAAACATAATCTCTAACAAAAAAAAATTATGCAAAATATGAAACAGATCCAGAGTGAATGATGCTGTGGAGAGAGCTTGTAGATTGAAATGGAGATGTGCTGGCCATGTGGCAAGAATGAATGATATATGGTGAACACACAAGTTAACCAAATGGAGGCAAAGAACATAAATAAAACAGAGGAAGACCACTTACATGATATATCATGACAGTTGTCACAAAAAAATTAAGAGAGAAAACCTAAACAAACCATGGAAAGATTAGTCACAAAATTAACAACACCACCAAGAGATGTTTATCTTGTTTTTGATAATTGCAAATAGCCCTGATTGAATGTCCAATCATGTTACATACAACGTATGGATTGCAGTAACAATACTAGTATATATCAATTATTGCATAAGTCCATTGAAAAGCTGAGAATCAGGGAGAAAGACTAAACATTTTTCATTACAGCTTAATATTTTACTTTGATGTAAATTTTTATATCAAAAGATGTATTATGTTATTAGATGTACTACTTTGGGTATAAAATAAACCTACAGGAAACTAATCAAATGACATTATGATTACATTTAATTCACTATTTTTGTTTTTATTACAATAACTACAGTCAATACCTATATAACTCTGACATTTTAGGTAGTACAAGTGACAGTAGAATTTGGGGTACCTATTAGTCATGTTGATCGTGTCAAAAACAAAGATCTAGGTGGAGGAGTTATTCTAGATCTTGGTGTGTACATTCTACAGTTTCAACAGTATGTATTCAATGGTTTGAAGCCAACAAAAATCATAGCTAGTGGACATCTAAATGAAGAGGGCATTGATAGTTCTGTCGCAGCTATTTTGACTTTTCCTGAAGGGAAAACAGCTGTACTTTCTGCATCTTCATTTACGAAACTTGCCTGTGAAGGTAAGTTTTTCTTGTAGAATAAATGAATTACATTATCATCAGTAGGTGTTGTAAAAATATAATAAACTATTAAGTTTTTTTTATGACACAATCTTTAGCAATCCAAACACAAATAAAGTTCTATAAGCTAATTTGCTGGCTGCAGAGCAAGGGACTCCTATTGGTGTGGTGAGGTCTTCTCCAGTAACAAGACCACTTTAACCATTTTTCGGGTCAGCGGGCCAGTTCCTTTTGAGTCTCCTATTGGCTTGGTGTTCTAGGGGGTTACTATGTGATTCCAGTGCTTCATGGTTCTTTGTGCTGTATTTTCGAGCTATCAATTGGAGTATTTTTGATTGGCATCTTTGAATTATGGCTGTTTCACTTGCTCGCACATCCCCAGAGTTGGATTCCATACGTCCAGATAGGTTTTATGACGGTTTTGTATACAAGGATTTTGTTTTCAAGGCTCAGTTTCGATTTCCTGCCTATTAACCAGTTTAGATCTTTTATTCTTATGTCAATTTGTTTCCGCTTCTTCTAGTAGGTATGAACTAGGTTTTGATTTGATTTCCTATTAAGAATTGTAAGCTCTTTTTTACTGTTGTTTTTTAGGTTTTTGTTTTTTCATTATTTACATTAAGTACTCAATTTAGGATTTATTAATCGATTAGGGACAATAAGTGTAGAAAGATGTTGTTGAATCTTAAAGAATGGATTAACTGCAGCCTATTATAGCTGTTCAGAGCAGCAGCTACTAAATACACTACATTTGTGATTACAATTGAACATATAGATAAAAGTAATTTACAGAAAAAAACGATAAGATAGAAATTGTAAATTAGACAAACTCCTGATATCTTTGAAGTTTTTTGTATTCAATAGTAACTTCATGTGTTAAATTCATAAAAAAACAACAACTACGCCATTCTCTCAATGTTTCTAACATAATTTTCTTGTGCAATTTTTAAATACCTTATTTTTTATACAGGTGTGGTGTATGGCACTAAAGGATGTATTAAGATGCCTACGTTTTGGTGTCCCACAACACTCGATGTGAACGGTGTAGTCTTGGAATTTCCTTTGATTAAAAATGAAGGAGAGTTCAATTATCTCAACAGTGCTGGTTTGGCGTATGAAGCGGAAGAGGCAAGGCAATGTATAATGAAAAACAAAATAGAAAGTCCCAAAATTACCCATGACAACACTTTGGAATTAGCACAGCTGATGGATAAATTGAGAGCAGAATTGGGAGTTGTGTTTCCTGCAGATGGGGAATCTTACTGACGTTTTTGATATTGTTATAGTGCATACCTCTCATTCAATAATATACTTTACTTGATTTCCCCATGCTCTAAAATCTTCATTGATAAATAGATAGATAATTTTAACAACTGGTAAATAAACCTTTTGTGCCTTATTGTACAATTTTAAGTATCCAATACTTATTTTATATATAAATATTGTTATTTTATTGTTAATTTTTGATTAGGTATATTAAACATATATTTGATAACTGTTTTTTTTATATCTTTTTACCGGACTTTTCATATCTATTTTACTTATTGGACGAGGCTGAGTAGATTCAAGATATGCTGCCCTCCTTAGAATATATACGATGATGCTACTTTTCACGTAAAAACAGATGATGAACTGGAAACTATGAAAATAGACCTTGGTCTATTTTCATAGTTTCAAAAAAAAGGTGTGAGATAGGGAAACACCATCTCATCCAAGTTATTTACTTTGGCATTAGAAAATGTCTTCAAAAAACTAAATTAGGTTGAAAAGGGATTAAAAATAGATGGATACTTCATATTGCATCTTAACTATTTGCGTTTAGCACACACGTAGTACTAATAAGCACAGATATCCATGAACTAAAATCAATGCTACAATATTTAAATCACAAATCGAATCAAATAGGAAAAAAATTAATCTCGACAAAACAAAAATATTAAGTAACAGCCTAGATAACATCAATATAGAAAAAGTAGAACAATATAAATATCTAGGACATGCAATTAAAAACAAAAAGGAAAATCAAACCCTAGAGATTAAAAGGACACAATTGTCATGGGCTGCTTTTGGTAAGTTGAGCTTAAAACGAAAAACCTATGACACTTGTATACTACTAGTTGCAACTTATGGATTGGAAACTATGGCAATAACAAGAAAAGTGGCAGAACAATTAAGAGTAAATCAAGGGGCCATGTTAAATATAGGCCCCAGAGACAAAATTCCTAACACTGAAATATGTTGAAGAACTAAAGTAACCGACATCATGGGAAAATAGCGACATTTAGATGGCAATGTGTAGCACATGTAGCAAGACAAGACACCAACAGATGGTCTCATAAAGTGACATTTTGCAGACCTCGAGAAACAAAAAGAAGCTTGGGAAGACCCAAATGGATAGGATGTATCAATGGATAGATGATACAACAGCTGTAGCTGGAAAGCAGTGAATCAGTAAGGAAATGCTGGAAAGCATCAACAGTAAAACAACTTTATAAATATAAATAAAACAACTAAAAATAATTTCTTACTTTATAATTTAAACAAATCGTTAAAAATAATCTCAATAATAAATACTAAACGTTTTGTGGAATGGTAAACCCTTCTCTTCAATTTCTTTTGCATGTTTCCTCCTGAAATCCCATAAAAAGTGGTCAATCAGAATGGAATTAATAGTTTTGTTGCTACTGAGTTTCTTGGCAACATATTCCTTTAGAAGTTCCACTGCATGTATAGTACATCCTCTGATTTCGATTTCTTCATCATCTCCATTTTTAAAAACGACATTGTCGTCCAAGTAAGCTTGTAGGTCCTCCTGGTATTCTAATGCCCCAAACCAAAGCAACGTTTGCGGAACACGGTAATCTGCAAACGCTGTCATTTCTTCTATATCTTCAAAGTAACCAAGATCTAAAACATGTTTGTTTTATCATTAATTTATTCTCATGAATCCATTAAACTATGTATGTAAGGTACTAGCTGACCCTGCTAGTATCTGATAAATGTTCTGTTAAACTATTAACTGTTTTATATTAAGATTAAATTAATTAAGTTCAGTAAAAGTTCGAATGAAACAGCAGTTTTGACTTTGTTATATAATATAAAAATATAAAACAAAAAAATTGACAGGTACCATAAATATTTTTTCACAATGAATCACAAACTGAATATTCACATTTCAAATTTGTCTACTATTAAGTAACCTATGTATTCTTTCTATGTCAAAGAATTTTTAAGAGTGATGTTCAAAGTATCCTATTGAATAAATACAGATATTGCTTTAAAATACAAACCTTTATTCTCAAAACAAGCCCATATATCCCCAACTAAAATCTGAGCTCGTTTATATAATGATACTCTTTGCCCATTATAGTCTGCTTCATCTTTGAAACACTGAAAGTTTTCAACTACTAAATTTAGCAAAGTCTTGGCACTGTGATTGGCTTTCTTTACAACATTTTCAAATGTTCCATCAAATTTTTCCAGAAGCACATTCCCAACTTCATGTAAACATTTCAATCTCTCATCAAAAAGCGGGATTTCCACTTTATTGTCACTTTTGAGAATTTCTGCCAACTTTTCCTTAGTAACGGTAGAATAAAATTTTGGATTCAAGATATCTATCTGTAAAATAAACAAATTTAGTGTGATTTTGGTGAAATTCATATTTGTATTTATTAAAATACATGCACATAATAGTAACTTGATGATTAAATAAATAAAACACTATGCTGATTCCAAGCCCAGGGCTTTTCATCAAAGGAAAGAGTGATAACATGCACACTAAAAGAGGGGAGATCCCAACAAAACAACCCCTAGACTTCAAGGTGGAGGCTTGAGCATATGACTAAAAAACCTCACTCCTGAAAAACAAAACTTTATGACAGCCTCAGATTGGAATGATTAATGGAAACCAGACACAAGTTAATGGATTTATCAAAAAGAAAAATCAATTGTCAAAAACTACTTGGAACATCAACACTTCAAGACAAAATGCTATATTCTACAGTGGAGAATAGAGAAGGGGATATGACAGAACAAGAATTGTCTAAGAAAGTAACTGAAACCAGTGGATATTGGATTCTCTAAAGTGGATAAAAGTAAATCTTTTTTACATCTGTGGTTAAAGTTCTTCAACTTAAACCTCAATAATATTAGCATACAGGGGAGGCAAATGAAGAAGTAAAAACTGCCTTCTATAAAAAATTAGAAAAATAAAATAATACAATAGCAAATTATGAGGTTAAAATGGTTCTAGACTTTAATGTGAAAATAGGAAGAGAGGGCATATATGTAAAGCTCATAGGAAGGAATAGTCAGTCTACTGAGAGCAATGACAATGGATTAAGAGTAATTGACTCTGTGAGAACAGAGTAAAGGTGTTGTAGTGCTCACCAGGTAGACTATTTTCTTATTTGTACAAAACACTCAACAGATATTCATACAGACATGCAGAGAAACTGAAATTATTTCAGACCATGATTTTCTGTAAATATAAACAAAAGGAGCATTGCTCAGAGAAGGGAAGAAAGAAAAACAAGTTTAATATAAAGTATGCTTTGGGTAACTACCTATTTTTTATAAAAAAAAATCAATTTCATGCTAGTGTCAAGAAACCAAGGGGAAACACAATATTAAAAAAACATAAATGGACACAGGTATAAGGGAGTCACAAGTTTTAACAGTCTGCTACACAGTCAGTAGGAGAACAATGAAGATCTTGTATCTAAAGATTATGTATCCAGTAGTGATGTTGGGAAGATATATATGGACTTTGTCCAGCTAGGATGAACTGCTGAGAAGGTGGAAGAAAAAATTCCTAATAAAAGTTTGTGGAGGTTCACAGAAACCAGGAACTGCAGCTGGTATTTGGAAAACCAATGCTTTGAGACTGAAGTAGAAAACAAGGTGAAGATCATGTTAAGAGAGTGGGGAAAGTAAGAACCTTCAAACCTACAAGAGAGCATCTTTAGGTGACTCGATAGAAAGAAAGAATACAGAAATACCCCAACTCAGATAGAAAGATGGCATTCAGGAAGACCTAACGAGATTATGAATCTGGCAATGATCCAACAACAGAAAGGAATGGGGAGATGTGAAGCGAGCTGAGGTCCTTTAAGGGCTACACAGTAAGTAGTAGCACTACACAGTAAAAGTAAAGTAAGTAAAGTAAGGAATATTGATAAAATGTTGTTTTATTGTCATTTTCACAAACAGCATTTAATCAAACCCAAATGTAAAGAATGGGATAAATATTGAAAATTGTTTATACATATCATAATTATGTAAACATTGAGAAAATATAGTGAAATAGAACCTAATCTAACTTATAAGTATAATAAAATCACATTATTTATGTGAAACCTAAAGTAAACTTATTAAAAAGGTCTAAAGGGGTTTCAATAACATTTTTAACAAATTAGAACTAAAATTCAAAAGTATAAACATACTCTATTGAGATTTCTTACCATTCAGCCCTACCTACACTTCTCTCCTTAGCGTAAAACCATTAATGAATGAAATTGATAAAAAACTTGGGAGTTTTGTTTAATAGAAAACTAACTTCTACACAACATGTATAAGCATGGAAAGTATGATTGGTATGCACCATTATACTGTTGTGTGCTCATTTTTCAATCATATCTGTATGGATAATATTAATTCAGAAAAGATTTCACTTTTCTATTAAATAATTCTAATTCAAAAACTCTTTTCATGTTTCACAAGATTCACAATAGGCAATGAAGTGTTAACCCAATTAATTTAAATATAAATGACATTGAAAATGTTTCACCAGTATAGTTCCTAGGACTTCATGTAGGTCTTAATTGGAGAAAACATGGTGATGCACTTGTCACAAAATTAAACTCAGTAACTTTTTTGTTTCGAAATTTACAATAAGTTTTAACAAAGAAACAATTTAGTGCTTTATTATGCCCAGGCTGAATCCTGTCTAAGATATGGGATTTGGGAAACAAGTAGTCATATTAATGAAATTTTTTTTGCACAAAGAAGAATAATACACTCTATGGTATCCCTCAATATAATACTAGGATTTTTAAAAAATATTCGAAAAACTTGCTAATTATATCACATCTAATCTATATGCTTCATGCTATCACATAGCCTAGTAACACTCAAATAATAATAAATATATTTAGATTTGATTACCAGGTTTTGATGGTAATAACCATCAAAATAATTTAACAAGCAGGTGCCTGCTATATAAATAAAAGAAATTGAATAAACTCACCCCCTGTTTAACGGCTCGATTTATTGCACCACATAGGGCAAAATACCCTGTTAAACCATTTACAACCCAGCCCTCTTCAAATTTATGGTGCCAGAAACAAAAATTCAATGTATCCACAACAAATATCCAATCAATAGCATGTTTATCAGTTGGTTTGGGATGAAGATCTGTTTGACTAAAATTACTTGGAGATAATTTTCCAGATTCAATCTCTTCCACTAAAATGTTACCAAGCTTTTCTATGCCAGAGTCGTTTATCTTAACCATTTGTGCTTTAGAAGCTATTAATTTAGCTGATTCTCTTGGGTTTTAAAACCATTTTAATAATAATAGGATCAAGAAGTACAACAATTTATTAAGAAAGTGTTTGCAGAGAATATAAAATACACTACACACGCTTTGTTGTTTGTTTATTCCAATGAATATGCGCTCCATTAGTGGTGACGTCACACGTTGAGATAGGTTATGGTCCTGTATCCAAACAAACCAAGTGTTCTATTCTAATTACCATAAGCAGATTTTTAACACATCGATTTTGTGCATTTTTGTTGAAAATAACTTCAGTTTTCCGCTTCAAGGTATGTAAAATGATGTATATTTAAAGATAAATTTTACTGAAAAAGCCAATTTTTGCAAACAAGTCATTAAATTCCACAAAACAATCCTTGTTTACATAACTTTAAAATTAAACTGTTTTTGTAATAATTAATAAATAGTGTATTTTATGTTAATTTTTATCAGAATTCAGTGACAGTGAGTAAAGAAAAATATATCAACTCTGCACTAACATTTAGTTGAAACTATGTTCTTGTTTATTTCATTTAATAAATTGCTAGAAAATAATTTTTTGATTATAAAATTCTATTTTTTTTTATTTTTCCCCCAAAAAAAGATTAATACTTTGCATAAACCAGTCAAGTCCAATTATTTTTCACCCATAACTTTTTTGTTTTTTAACTTACAACTTATTATTTAAAAATAATAGTGATGACAAGATGATCTTCAAATGTTTTCATAGTTTTCGCTCAAAATGTTTTACTTCTCCTGAACATTTTGCTTTATTTGACTTGACTGGTTTATGCATTGGACCCTTCAAATGTAATAAAAGTTAAGATAGTGATTATTGATGCTGCTAATATTTACCTACATTAAACTATTCTGATATACTCAGGACATTAGAGAGAAAAATACTGAGGAAAGTATATCACCCGGTACAAGAGTAAGATGGCACATATAGAAACGATAAGGTTAATGAGTTAAATGAAGGTTATGACATTGTAAGATTTGTGAAAAGTCAAAGACTGTCATGGCTGGGACATGTGCAGAGACAAAACAATGCAAAAACAACAAAGAAAATGTTACAATGGAAGCCCATAAAAAGGCGAAAAAAAGGAAGGCCCAGAACGAGATGGTTGGATGACATAGAAGATGACCTGAAAACAATGAACATAAGACAATGGAGAAGAAGGGCACAAGAGAGATCTGAATGGAAGGACATAGCCAGACAGGCAAATACCCATCTAGGGTTATGATGCCAAAAGAAGAAACTATTCTGAGATATTTTGAGTTTTATGCTGTAATTTTATCTTTGAAATATAATGAATTAGAATATCACTCTTTTTATCATTGAACAGTAAACCACTAATAAAAAATGCATCTTTGTACTACTTAAAATTGCAAATGTGAAATACAATTAACAATAAAAAGTTAATATTTTTATGGTGATGAGAACCACTTCCCAGTCTAAAGTACATTATTTGCCACAATACCTATTTTGTTTAGTACAAAATATGGATTTAAAGGATAAAAACACATTTTTAAAAACTAGCTTTTATTTTTTTTAAATAACCAGTAACAAACTTAATAAAGTAATTTAAGTAAAATGTTTGTAAAATATTTAAATTATTTTGCCAATCATCATCTTTTGAAATTCTAACTATTAAATGATCATTGGGGACCCAAATAATTAAATAACACATATCTCTGTTGGTTATGTGTAACTCTCCAGTGACCTCAGAGAATTTATTTAAGGCGCACCTTTCATTTTCTCTGCCCCACTGGATAGCTTGAACACCATTTAGGTCATACCCTTCGAGTAAATTTGTAAAAAGAGACTTTGGATATTTGCCTCTATTACATGCAGCAATGACTGAACCAAATTTGCTACTTGTCAGTCTATATTTTCTTGCTATCAGCCAATTTTGGGTGGGATTTGGGTGACCCAACTCTTCTTTAAAATGTTCAATTTCCTCATGATTTGCTGTCCTCTGTACTGCCACATAATTCGATTTTTTAGGTTTATAAATGTCTCTGATTTTAGTTACAGTTTCTATGTCAAGAGCTTTCCTTTTGTTCCATGCACAGGCCTTATCAGTAATACTAATATTATGGTGAGCATGTAAACATAATGCTGCCATATGATGACACACCACCTGACCTCTCGGACAACTGCATTTAGCATCTACAATGCCATCATCATAGTCTATGGAAACCTGAAAAAAATAATGCTACTTATTTAAACTGTTAAAAAAATTCCACATTAAATCTTGAAAATAGATTAGTTTTTTAATAAATTCTCGAACAGAAGACAAGTGCATACAAAATTACATTCCAGGTAATTGCACTGGGATACTGTGTCAGAAACTGGGCTAACTTTGCTGACATAAGAAGCTTCAAAACAGTCTATATTAGTTTTATAAGGAGTAAGCTAGAGTATAGAGTACTGATTTGGTCACCAATCTATTTGAATGCATGCTCAGCCATTGAAGCTGTTCAGCATAAGAGCTTAAAATACATGCACACTAAATGGTATGGTTTTTATCCTGAAAGGGTGTTTTTCACATTCAATGCTGCTACAAATAATGAAGTTTGATACTCTAGCTTACCATCAACAGGTGAGCGATCTTACAGTGCTGTATAACATTCTTTACAATTCACTAGACTCCCCAGAATTATTATCTAAAATTAATTTTGTTGTACCAGAGAAGACTACATGTTCTAGTTCAACCTTCTATAACCCAAGAGGTAGAACAAACATTTCAGATATGTCTCATATAAACTGAATCTGTAGTACCTTTGAAAAATGTTTTCAAGGGTGTGATCTAAATTTTGATAGTCTACGAGTTATTTTATAGAGATTTAAAATAAATTATGATATACTGCATCATTAATTTCTGCCATTTTACAGTTGCTATAGGCTTAATTCTAAAAGAAGCTGTTACTATACTCCTTTTTTTAAATGTTTCTTTGATTGGGTGCAAATCCATTGGATTAAATATTATTATATTATTAAAACTCTATTTTAAATTTAATATTGGAAAATAATTACCTCTACAGAATAATTTTTGTTTTTCATGCTGGCTCTGACTTCTCCTTTCAGTAGGGCTGGGAAAACCTCAGGATCAAAAATAAATTTGAGAACATTGCCACTCTCCTAAGAATTTTCTCCTCTGTGCAGCTGTGACATGTCGTTTTTAAAAAATTCTGCTATGGCAGAAAATGATAAAACATGCTTTGAAGTCACTGTAAATAAAAATTTTTATTAATATATTTGTTATTTTGGATAATTAAAGTATAAACTAACTACTTGTAAACATAACCTAAAAAAAATAAATATTAAAAATAAAGGTAATATTTCAAAATTTTGCCTAGCAATTTGAATTCCTCCTAATAGAACGAGCTTGATTACTTACTATTTAAATAATATTTTAGCTTAAAACACACTGGTACTCAAAAAATCATCAAAATTCACCAAACGCTGTGAACAATCAAATGGCTGTCAAGTTTGTTTAGATCATCGAGCAATAAGACAAAAGAGGGAATGTAAAGGTAGTGGGGGTAAACATATTGATAGACAGGAAGTGCCATCTTGAGAGGCCACTTTAGACAAGGATAGACAGTCTCTTTCCTTGTTTAAGAAGTCAAATTTAGTTAGGTTATGTTATTGTTTGTCCCAACTGTCACATGAAATTTTATTTATATTGAAATCTTTTACCAATTGTGTCACTTTTTAGACTATTATAGTTAATATTTAATTAAAACTTTCTCGTCTGAAAAATATTTTATAGCTATTGTTAATAAGTGTTGGAAAATTTAAATTTAGCGCCTTTGCATTTCCGGATATGTCCGCCATCAGAGGCCACTTTTTTGGTCTCCTTTTCATAACGATTAGATTCCCTCTTTTATCTTTTTGCTCGATGGTTTAGATACAGTCATTGACTCCACCCATCTCGTGACCGTGGAATAAACATAACCTAATGGAGCGTATTAGGTTATGTTTATTTTTTATTTATCCTTGGCCTTTGCCTACAACCAAAGAATATAGACGCTTAAGCGTCTATATTCTATATTCTTTCTTCTTCTTCTTCAAGTGCCATCTTCGTTCCGAAGGTTGGCGATCATCAGGGCTATACGTATTTTCGAAACTGCTGACCGAAACAATTCGTTGTTGCTACAACTATACCATTCCGTAGATTCTTTAGCCAGGAGTTTCGTCTTCTTCCTATGGACCTTTTTCCTGCTATTTTCCCTTGCATAATTATTCGAAGCAGTTCATATCTTTCGCCTCTTGTAATGTGGCCCAAGTATTGCAGTTTTTCGTTTTTTGATTGTAAATATGACTTCCTTTTCTTTGTTCATTCTTCTCAAGACCTCGACATTTGTGACTCTCTCGGTCCATGATATTCTCAGGATTCTGCGATACATCCACAGTTCAAATGCCTCTAATTTTTTTATATCCTATTCTATATTCTTTGCTACAACACAACTACAACAGAGAACCATCACCATCAGAGAACTATGTGTTCGTTAGTTCTCTGCCTACACCACAGAATACACCGTTGGTGTATTCCATGGCCACAGAATAATAAACATACAGAATACCCACTCTCCACTAGTGGTGGGCTTCATAGTTACTTTCTAGGAACTAGTTCCTTAGATCTAGTTCCTAAAAAGGAACTAGTTCCTGGAACTAGTTCTTTGGAACTATGACTAACTTTGCGATCAGATCGTATGATCAATCTTGATATGAATCGGATCGAGTGTTTAGGTTCGATATTCGACATCACAAATAAAATAAAAGTAAAATATGGTAAACGATGGGAAACTAAATTCGAAGGCATTGGTTTAAATAATTATTTCACGAAAATAACGAAGTGGTTTTTTACTTTATCTAAACATATTTTTCTGAATTTTAAATCAAAATGCTATTATTTTTCTATGATTGTTGATTTGTTATTTATTTATTTTCTCTCTAAGAATTTCGTGTTCTTCAAAGATTTATTTATAAACAAAATTTAATTCAAAATTTAATTATATTGTTGGGTGTAAGAACTACATTCATTTTACATATTCCCAATTGTCAATACAAGCACGTGAAAGAGAAACAGGAATCATACTGATGTGTATCAT